GTATTTAACAATACTTAATGGGGCATTAATTTGGGATTGAAAAACATTTAACGCCGCTTGGCACAAAAATAAAGAGAAATAGCCAGAGAAAGTGTTACAAATTGTGAACAATATTGTCTTCTACATTTATCAAATATTTTTGTAATCCTTATCTATTAGAAATTTTTATCTGCCTCGTAAAACTTTATATGTTAAATAGCCTAAATATATTTTTTCCATCAAGAGTGAAACTTAAGTTTTACTTTTATGATCGACATGGAAAGCCAACAGGGTAATTTTTAAAATAGCTTGTGAATTTACATGTGAATCAATAATTTTTTTAAGAATGCGATTGAAAAGACTTACTGATTCATTTACATTTAAGGATTTAAACTTTACATTCCAATAAATTGCACACAAAAGTAGATTAAGTTCATTATTACATAAATTACAAATTTTTACACAGGGTTGTCAAGAAGTTGATCAAAAGTATTTATAGAACAAGAAGAGATTATCAACAAGAAATAATTTTATTAATATTCAAAAGGAACTGTAGATCCAAGATAGAAAGTTCTTATTTATAATATATTTTAATGAGTGTAATTCTAAAATCCAAGATATAGCCACATAGCCACAGATATTGGAAAATGTACACTATTAAACAATAAAGGATAAAAATAAATGTTCTAATGGTACCAAACGATTAAAAAAATGATTTGTCAATAGAATATTTAAAAAAAATTATTCATAACAATATAATGGTTTAAGTAAGTTATAAAATGAAGTCATTCTAGCAAAAAGTTTTACAAAAGTTAATTTTTCTTTTCAACATGGAATAATATTATTTACATAAATTATTTAAATATCTAATTTGTTTACATATTATTTATGTTTTGTGACTTGGTAAAAAAGCTTGACACTATCTAAAATTTATGTACATTTCAATGATAAGAAACAGTGCAATTATTACCTGTCTAACAGCTTGATAAACTTTTTCTTCATGTGAATCCATTTCGACAAAAGTGCGGATTTGAGACAGATTGACACTTTCCCTATAACCTAGAGCTACAATTTCATCAAAAGCAAATATAAGAGAAAAGGCATTTTCAGCTATTTCATTTTCATCTAAAGACCTACAATATTCTGGAATCTGAAATACAACATATTTCGTTTTTAACAATAAAAATTAAATTAACTGAATTAAAACTTACAACTCTTGCAAATAGACGTAGGGTCTCCAGATCTTCTAATATATTACTAGCTCTAGTTGTGATGAGCAACATGTATAGTCTTTCTAAAGGTTGATACACGTAACGCACTGAATCTGTTTCAACAAAAGTGTGTTGTGTCCCAGTTGGAATTAACTTTGGGAAAGCAGCTAGTAGACCTTCAATACGTGCTTTGGTCATTTCAACAAACTGTCTAGATACAATTGCTAAAAATTAAAACATTCGATATAATTAGTTCAAAAAAAATTTAATTACTTTACATACTTTTGCCTGCTTTCGTGCAGACTGCTGCTGCAATTAGTACCTGCAAAAACACAAACAATATTGATAAAATGTATGTGGGTTCCTGTCTAAATTATAGATCATTTTCTTACCATTGTAATTTCGTTTAAATGGCACAAATTTACTAAAATATTATTATTTTATTAAACATTACACCCAACAATAAACGAAACTAAGATGACGTTGACGTGTAGATTCTGAATTTCTGAAAGAAAAAACAGTGACGTGACAAGCGGCCATCAGGTTGTCAAAAATCATTCGTACCAACATAAATCAAAATGTCATAATCGAGTTAAGCCAATTTCACATTAATCGTTAAATCTCAATAATTACTAACAAGTTTGATAATAATAGATAAATTACATTACATACAGTATGATTTTTTATGTCTTTCAGTATTTTTTTAATATGGTAAAAGCCTAAACTAAAACAGCTCATAAAAATGTATTACGCTATATTTCAAACCATCGTTGATTGGTTTTCAAATTAAAAGATTTTGTTTAAAAAAATTCAAGTTGGTTAAACTGTTTTTCATCGAATTGACCTTAAGTTACATTATTTTTATGATTGGTAGATGGCGCTGGTATTGACATCTGGCGGTGATTAGTCCAAAGGTCACTCCAAAATTTTTTGGAGTTTAGTGGGGGTTAATTTCAAAGCACGTGCTCAAAGAAAATGTCTAAATCACATTAGTTCTTTTAACATAAGAAGTATATTTTTTTTTGTTATATCAAAAAAATAATTAAATATTATAGTGTGTTCCAAGGCGCTTCGTTAATTTTTGAAAACGATTACAAAATAATGGCCCTAGGAGCGTCTGTAACAGAAGCGAAATTCGATGCACAGAGTTTGGACTCAAAATCCGATACAGCGGAAAAAAATGTTGAAGATGAAAAAGCACAAGGTTAGTTTCATGATGTATTACCATTCCTTCTTTTTGTTAAGATTTTATTATTTTTGTTACGTAACTCCGGCTTTGGTAATAAAATTCGCATATTTAAAAAATTGACATTGACAGAATGATATATTTTAATGCATTTTTCCAATCTGCATTTTTTTTTAAATTTTATCAGCTCGTTTGCATTATATAATTATAAAAATAAATTAATGGGTCATTGTCTAGTTTGAGCTCTTTTCGCTCATGAAAAAACCAAGCATACGTACTAGCAGATATCACTATGGTAAACAAAAAATATTAGTTGTGTAAATTAATAATAACGAAACAATTAATTTTTTTAAACACTGTTGCCAAGTCGCACAAAAGTTTACTATATAATTATTTAGTATCAAAAGTATCAATTTTCTATATTCTATAATATAACTATATTGACCGAGCTATTGACGTGCCATAGAGCACAAACACATTTCAGAAATATTTCAAAAATATTACATTGAAACATTTATAATGTTGTATAAATATTACGAAACATTTCTGAAATGTGCCTGAAACGTAAAAATGTCCTGTAAATATAAATATTTCACAGTAATATTTCTGAAATAAAAATTTGAAATCTTTTAGAAATATGAAATAGTAATATTTCAGAAATGTAGGTATTCTAGCTTTTTTTTTTCTAATATTATTAGACTAAAAAAAGACATTTATAAATATACATGTTTATTTAAAATACACAAAACTCTAATATTGATTCTTAAACAAACAAAAAAATGCACTAATCTGAAACAAATAGTTTTTTTTAATAAATGCCAAGCATTGTAATACCCGCCTCAATTTCTAAATACATATTATGTCTATTCTACTTCCCATATAACAACAGCACAATGCATAAATAACAAAAAAAAGGAAATGACAACTCAAATCTATAATTATTTAGAATATAGGGTTGTCTCTGGCTGGACATAGGATGAAATAAAATAATTACATATCCCATATTGATCTTACAAATCAGAAATTCTTCATTAAGTGTTGGCCTTTTACAACATAACCAGTTTAGTAACCTTTTGTGTAACATGTATACCATGTTTCAGAAACATTTTCAGTGAAATATTTAACTAAAATATTTCAGAAACTTGTGCTTGAAATGTTATATATTTGAAATATTTCTGAAATAATGTGTGCTGTATGGGGTTTTACCCACCTAGCACCCCTAATCACTCTCTTTCCCATAAAATTGATAAGGCTAATGGAAAAAATGGAATATTTTTAATTAAAAAAAATTGTGTCATTACTCATTTGCACAAGGTATGAAACTTTTTTGTTTTTTGTTTACAATAGCCATACCTACAAGTACCTATGCTTAGTTTTTGAATATTCGAAAAGTGCTCAAACCAGACATTTACCAATTAATTATTTATTTTATTACATATTTGTTTTTATTTAATAAAAAAAATATAGGATATTATTGTAACAATCCGGAAGATTAAAGCCCCTCTTGGTTCAACTGATAGGTCTTTAACTACTGTTGTCAATATATTATTAAGGGATGAAGGCAGCAATAATAAAAAAAATTATCCTTTAATAGCAGTTTTGGTAACTAGTTATAAATTCATTCTAGTCCTTAGGGGATAGAAACGCCGAGGCTTCACATGTGCTCAGAATATTTCATAACTAGATTTAGAAAGGGGAGGACCCAAGTAGCACATGATTGGTTAATAAAAACTGTAAGAATATTCTTAAAGCAAATGTTTATAAGAGAATAAAATTTATAATTTTACTTTTAGATATTCTTACAGGCTGTATATAACTCTTATAAGCTTAAATTGGGCACCAAATTATAAATCAAAAGTTTTTTAGTTTCCTTATAAATGCTTTATTAATGTGCCGCAAAATATAATAAAGCTTATTTGTAGATACTTACAAAGGTTTAATAAAGCAATCTCAAATAGTATTTTAAAAACACATTTATAGTTACTGTATTTGCAACCAATTTGGAACCTTTAAAAAGCAATAAGACTTATAAGTAATTTTATCCTCCTTTAATAAATTTTTAATCTTTATTAGTATAGCGTGAAACAGGTTTTACAAAGAAAAAAGTTTTATTTATATATTCTCCAAAAACAAAATTGTTGTGAACTCTTTATATTACTGCAGTGTCTACATTTATAAAGGTTTCAGTTGATATGGCGTCTTGCAATATACTTTAGTCATGAGACATGACAAAAAAGTAGGAAAATATATTACCTTATCTTTAACAGAGATGCAAATGTTACGAGTTTCACTTTAATGTGAAAGTCTATATTATTTTATCGCGATTTTTTTTACGACCCCACATTAAACATTCAATTGAACGATAAAAATAAAAACAAATTTGTATGTAAGAAAGTAAGAATGTATTGATAAAAGAAACATTAGATTAAATTATTCCTACTAATAAGCAATAATTTAGTATCTGGTGTTTACAGACCATTATCACATTATTTCACCAAAAATTTTCTTTTTAATTTTTGACCTTCATGTATTTTACATTTCAAATATGGCGAAGGTTTTAGTTGCACAAAAAGCATTTATAAAATATTTATGCTTTAAAAACAGCAACAACAAAGCAATTTGCCCAACTTTTTCATCATTTACAAGAATTTATTGCCAATTGTCTATGAGGGTACTTTCAAATGTGGTATACCTAATCCTGTACTATTTAACATAATTTAATATAGTTACCAGACTTTAAAGAACTAATAGTTTCTATTACAGTCAAAATTTGCTGTTCGACAAATATTTTGATATCTATTAATATTAATAACATTATTAAATTAATATAAATGAACACAAATTAATTTATATAATAATAGATATCTAAATATTTCACTTTGATTTTTTTATTTGTGAAACTTTTTTTTTATTTTGCTGCACTACTATGTCTTTGCCTTTTGTTCTCAGGCTTATTTTCTGTGGACTCATTTCTAGTAAATTTTTTCATTTGCAATTGTAATGAAGTCATTTTTCATTACCATTTTTTTTTATTCAATTGCCGAATTAGTATTCTTAATAATGATTTTAAATCTAACTTTCATTAGAATCCGGCATATCAATTTAATAAAATTAATTATTCGTTACTATTTTAATTTATAAATCAACTTTTTGTATCTATTATTTTGAAATATATAATAATCCGAAAATCCATAATACTTTCACAATATAGCAATGGTTTTCAAGTCATTTTAAATCAGGGTTTTTAATTTATATTATAGAAAATTGTAGATTTGGGAATTTATCCTTTTTAATATTTTAAACGAGAACGAACGTCAGCACCCAGCACCGTATCCCTTCTCGTATACCTTCTCCCTCTTAAGTTGATCATGCGCAGGGCATTGGTAAATATTTTTCGACTCAAGATCGAGAACAACGAGCAGTGTTGCCAGTCTAGTACACTTGAAGCAAATTCTAGTACTTTCTCTTTTTTCAGCGTATGTTTCCATTTGACGTGTAAAATATATTGTTAGGGTTTTCCTTGTTTGTTGTATCCGTGTTCTCCAGAAACATCTTTTTTCGCAAGTTAATGCCATTTCACAATTCGAAAAATCTGATACATTTTATAGAATCTAGTACATTTTATAGAATCTAGTACATTTTATAGAATCTGGTACATTTTTATGGAATCTGGTACATTTTTTTGACAAACGAGAGAGAAATTTTTAATTCCATTCCGAGCGATCGAAAGAGTCAGTCGATAACTGTAATAGCAGCGCTGCGAGCCAAAACCGTTTTTTTTTTTTCGCAGTAAATACAAAAAAAACCCGTTTTGATTTTTTGCCGTAGCATCGAGTTTAGTTAGAAAATAAAACCAAATCAAATCAGGTAGATTTAAACACCTTTTAAGATTTACACATTTTAACACGTAAATAATTTTGTTTGAAAATTCCGAAATTTAATAATTAAATTAACAGTCGAAGAATATTTTCTTGTTTGGATATTGGCCGTGTTTATATTTTTTTTTATTATTTTCTTCGAATGGTGAGGACTGCTTCAGATATAAATCGACTTTGTAAATAGAATTATTAAATAAGTTAAATGGGAAAAGATAGGAATTAGAGTGTTTATTTCCTTTCGTTTTTTTTTTTTTTTAATTTAGATAGACTTTAAAAAAATAGATTTGTTAAATTCCTAACCGTGGGAAATACGGGAACTGAATATTGTTCATTTTTTTTATTTGTTTAGTTTGACTGCCGGGATTTTGTTCTACCGAAGGGGACGGTATCATTTCCCGTTTTGAATATAAAAATCTCCGTTCCTTTATTTTTCCTTCCTGGCTATTTCCAAATAACTCAGTGAGGGCTTAAAGTTCCCTGTGTTATTTTCCTTCCTACCTATCCGCAATTAACTCAGTGAGGCCTTAAAGTTCCCTGTGTTAGTTTTCCTTCCTGTCTATTTCCAAATAACTCAGTGAGGGCTTAAAGTTCCCTGTGTTAGTTTTCCTTCCTGGCTGTCCATGTCCGACCTGGGGTTATAATAATAAATAATAATAAGAGGTAGTGTGGGTTTGATTCAGCGTAGCTTGCTCGTTGGCTTCAGGGGTTTAAAAAAAAACAAACATTTAGAAAGATTTCAAGTGGTCCTCACGAGTTTCAGAAGTGCCGCAGTTTAAATTTTTAAAATTCATACTGTGCTGGATTTACATTTAGATTTTTCTTTGCGATTTAAGAAAGTTACTGTAAATTTGGAATTTTTTAAATTCCTACTATCCGAGATTTAAATGTTTGACCTTAGTCTGAGATTTACGAATACAATTTTATATACGCGACCCCTTCACCGTACCCAGTTTAAGCAGTCTGATTGAGAATACCTGCCAACTATATCAGCCGTTCGTTCCCGTTTTGTTTTTAGTTTTAATTTTTTTTGTTCAGGGTTTCATATCCAAGAGGGTGGGCGTTGAAATATGTTATTTTATTTTAATTTTAAATAGTTAAACCAATATATGTGTCAACATTACCTTGACTATTATTGAGGTTACTATTCCCCAATTTACTTCCCCCATACTTTTCAGCAGTAAGAAATTCTTTACAACCACAAGTAATGATTAAAGCCCATTACTTGTGGCTACTAATTACCTGAGTCTAAGTGATCTTTGACCCCTGGAATTTTTCATCTCCATCTGTGCTGCCCGAGTACTTTCGACGCCGTTTCGAAAGTTTGTGGAGTAAACCACATACCAAATCTGGCGCCCGAGAGACGTTCCGTAAACAAGCGCCACTTGTAAGAAGGCGTTTTCTCTGAGGCGAGAATACCTTACACAATTATGGTACTTTTTACCAACATCTCATATAAATGTTTAACTAGAGGATGCTGACATAATGAATTGCCTACATAATAAAAATCTTATTACTTGAGATGAGCAATTTTGTCTAATAGTCGTCAAAAATGGTAAAAGGATTTATAGTTGTCTGCAATAACATCACTATAAATCTATTTTGCTCTCTTGCAACTATTAGACAGCAGAAATTGCTCTAAACCAGTGCTGTTAGTTCTTGTAAATGCCAAATGCTCTTATAATTGTTCACAATAACACAACAATAAAGTCATTTTGCTCTGTACTAGTGCTAATAGTTCTTGTAAATGCCGAATGGTTTTATAGTTGTTCTCAATAACACCACAATAAAGTCATTTTGTTCTCCAGAGAACTATAATGTGTCGATTTACCAATATATTTACTTTTTCTAGCTTAAAAGTTAGATTTAACCCAGCATTTTTATTCTTGTTCTTAGTTGTGGTACGTTAAAATGTTTAAGATTGTGGAAACGTTCGAAAGGGACAAGATTCAGTTTTCAGCGTGAGATGTCCATTTTGTTAACTCAACAACCCAATAACATGTCAAGTTGGTTTTTTTAAGTGTTACCAATACAGCAGTAATAAAGACATTTAAAGGATACTTTGTAATTGCTATGTTTGCTCTCTTAAATATAGTTCTTTGTAGCTGCAATGAGAGTATTTTATATTTGTCGAAACAATTTTGCGCTTTATACATGTTGCACAAATTACCTTAATAAGAAAATGAGGCGACTTCCCTTATAAGTGTTGAATATTTAACCAATGTATCTTATTGTTATATCAAACATCATGCTTTATAAATTTTCACGTTTCTATATTTATACTTACCTTTAAAATGTTACTAAAGACAAATATAAAATCGTTATAAATCAAAAAGCCTTAAAACAGAAATTGGTGTTATAGATACGACTTATAGCTGTTCTTAAGAAGTACTGAGTATATCTTATAAGAAAAATTTATATAACAATATTATAGTGCTATTTTGTTTTACACAGCTAAATTGCATCATTTGCTATATTTATGAGTCAATATTGAATTTCTGAAACAACTATAAAACCTTTATAAGAATTGAATGTTCTATAATTCAGTGGTTATAAGAGAAGTGTGCTGGTTTGGGAGAGAATAATAATTATTAAAGCGGTAACATTTATATATTTAAAATAATTATAAATAGAATATTGATCAATTTAAGATAAATGTAAGATATATAAATTTGGAACAAAAAAGTAAAAATTTTTCTCCAGTCTAGTCTCTCTATTTAAACTCAAAATTGATGTGACTTTTTAGAACATCAACATACTTCCTTGTATAATTCTCTAGTTCATTGTAAGCCATTGACTAGAGTAATAACCTAATTGTTTGTTTAATTGCAATACCTGTGTTTTCTTTTGAATATTAAGTTAAAACATTAAAAAATTCTTTTTAGAATTTTTGTGAAATTATTTATATTTTCAAATAATAATACCAATATTATTACATTATTTAAAAATTAAATATAATAGATGGAAGGTATTTAACACACATAATTCATTCATCAAAATTTAGCATTGCAGATTACAATAATGTTGAGATATTTATTTTACGAATTTTTTTTTTTTAAATTTGTACAGTACTTTTTTTTAAATTTATTAAAGATAACAAAGTAGCCAAAGAAGAACTAAACAAACTTGTTAAAGATAAAGAAGAAAAGGAAAAGGATGAATCTGAAGAAAACAAAAATAAAGATGAGGTAGTTTTTATACAGGATGTTGGGTTTTCAGTTAAAATTGTCAGCCCAGGGGCTGAAGCTTTTGATATACAGGTAATTCAGCAGTATCTTTATATATTGTTATTATTCATTTGTGTATTTAATAAAAGAGATAAATTGTAAAATATATCATATTGATTTGGAAAAAACGTTCTTCAATCCTTTTTTTTTTTTTTAATAAATAAAATCAGGTCTCCAGTATGGAATTGGTTCAAGAAATTCACCAACTACTAATGGATCGCGAGGATACGTGTCATCGCACATGTTTCTCCCTACAAATCGATGGAAACACATTGGATAATTTTGCGGAACTCAAAAACATTGAAGGCTTGAAAGAAGGATCTATTATAAAAGTTGTTGAGGAACCCTACACAATGCGTGAAGCCAGAATACATGTTAGACACGTCAGAGATCTGCTCAAATCGTTAGATCCTGCCGACGCTTACAATGGGGTCGAATGTAATTCATTAAGTTTTTTGAATACCGTTACTCAAGGTGATATTTTAGGTAATTTTTAAATTTTAAGTTTTATTGTTTGTTTAAATACCGCAATTACTTTTAATTGGTGTATTTAAAGGTAACACACAATTATTAGATTAATAATGAGGTAATTAAAATAAAAAAACTTTTTTTTAATTTGTTTTTAATATTGTTCTTATTTTAATTATTAATTAAAATTTGGAAGTTTTCATTAAGTTTTATGATAAAACAAAATATATTTTATCATCCTATTAATCCAAACTCTGAGACTTATAGCAATTATTCTGTACCAACATAGGTGACACATTTAATCAGGCATTTTAAATAAACTAAAATAATTCAATATTTTACATTTATCAATAAATAAAATTACATGAACAGATTTTTTTTACTCGTCAAAATTTGTAGAAAAGAAAAAAATGCGTCCGGAAAGCGTAGATTGTACCCCTCCGGATTACATAATGCCGGAAAGCAAAGATAGACCGCTAACCGCTTTGCAGCCCCAAATCAAAGAGCAGAAATCTCCACAATGCGTCAAAGTTTTGACCACGTCTGCTTGGAATCCCCCACCAGGACATCGAAAAATCCACGGAGACCTCATGTATCTGTACGTTGTTACATTGGAGGACAAACACTATCACATATCCGCCTGTTCGCGAGGATTTTACATCAACCAGTAGGTTTATCAACTAAAAAAAATGAATGAAATCAATTTTATTGTTTCACTTTTTAGATCCGGTTCGGAAGAATTCAATCCAAAAGCAGCAACGCCCAGCCACTTATGTCACTCGTTGATAGAACTTTTAAATCAAATTTCGCCGCAATTCAAGAGGAATTTCGCAATGCTCCAGAAAAAGAGAAGCCAGCGTCATCCTTTCGAACGAGTAGCAACGCCGTATCAGTTGTACGCCTGGACCGCTCCCACCATGGAGCACACGTTGGACGCTATTAGAGCCGAGGATACGTTTTCCTCAAAACTGGGCTACGAGGAGCATATCCCCGGCCAAACCAGAGACTGGAACGAAGAGCTGCAAACCACCCGCGAACTTCCCAGGAAAACTCTGCCTGAAAGACTGCTGCGCGAACGTGCCATATTCAAAGTCCATAGTGATTTCGTAGCGGCCGCCACCAGAGGCGCCATGGCCGTCATAGACGGAAACGTGATGGCCATCAATCCAGGCGAAGAGGCCAAAATGCAGATGTTCATTTGGAATAACATCTTTTTCTCGCTCGGATTCGACGTTAGGGACCATTACAAGGAGCTGGGTGGAGACGCAGCTGCTTTTGTTGCACCGGTATGTCTATTAGTTACTAATTTAACTGAAATACGAATACTTACCTTATCCTTCTATTTCCTATTTTATAAATAATGTCCTAACCAGTCCAGTGCATAACCCCACAGTTTACTGATAAAGTCTTAAATGCCCTCTGTAAATCTAAAAAACACTACCAATGTAACACAATTATTTCATATCATGTAACACCAACTGTAAAGCAATTTCACGATTGTGTTTACTACGGAATCCTGATGATAATAATAATAATAATAATAATAATAATAATAATAATAAATAAAATGCCTTAATTTGTACAAAATTAAAGTGTACATTTCATTTCGGCGAGATTTAGCCGAGGCTATTCTTACATCTAACTGCAATACAGGATTTATTTTAATAAAAATAGAAAATAAAATATATTGAATTAACAAAAACGATACTTAATATCATAAAAGTTTACAAAATAAAAACAAAAAAAGTAGAAATAAAATTACAAAACAAAAATATATACAATAATAACATTATTTTATGATTGAGAAATCAGCGGCTGTCTTTTTAATTTTGTTTAAATTAAAGAAGAGAAATAGATTCCTTAATAGCAAAATTAAGGTTGTTGTACAGAGCAATCGCATTATATGAAAAGCTACGTGTGAAAGTAGCTATTGAGTGGCGAGGCATAGCTAACGTTAGGTTATTTCTTATATTTACATTATGCATTGATGTTCGATAAATTAATTTGTTCTTAGATATGGTGGTTGTGAAGTTTTGATTATCTTAAATAGCTGTGAAAGAAAGAGATACTTAAATAGGTTTCCAACATTCAACCATTTATTTTGTGAAAATGCCAGAGAAATATGGTTGAATTTTATTAGATCAATTACGAACCTACAACATGTATTTTGTATGATTTGGAGCCAACTTCGATTTATTAAAGTTAAGCAACGATAGTATACAGTAATACGTATTTTAGATAAAACTAAGCTTTGACATAAATTAGATTTAATGGATTTGTCACGAAGAATGTGTTTGTTGGAATAAAGCAATCGAAGCGCACCATAGCATTGTTGTAATATATAGTTTACATGTTTATCAAATCTCATAGATTTATCAAAGTAAAGTCCCAAGTTTTTTGCTTCACATTCATGTGGAATTATTTCACCTGATATACTTAAAATTGCTTTATATTGAACAAAATCCTTATAATTATTATTGCAAAATATTAACAATTTAGACTTGCTGGCATTAATATGTAAGTTATGATTTAACGAATAAGAATTAATTTGACTTAGGTCTTGATTTATTAAGTTAACTCATTTTCACAATCATTTACATGAAAGTCTGAAAATAATTGTGTGTCGTCAGCAAAAAATTGAACAGCACAGTTATTGATGCGAGTATATAAGTCTGATGTATACAGTAAAAACAAAAGTGGTACCAAGACCGAACCCTGAGGAACACCGGATTATATTTGAATTGAAGTTGACATTTGACTATTAACAATGACTTGTTGGTAACTATTATGTAAGTACGATTTTATGAAGCCTAGTGATGTTGCTTCAAAACCATAGTAAGAACATTTATTAACAGAGAAAAGTTATTTATCGTATCGAATTCTTTACTGAAGTCTAAGAGAACTAATAAACCTGTCTTTTTCTTGTCAATGCTGTTCAAAATGTCATCAGATAGATAAGCCAAAGCTGTTGTAGTGCTAAACCTCTTCTGAAAGCCAGATTGGTGAAGTGGAATTATACTATTCTTGTAAGGTATTCATAGACTTGAATATAGGCAGCACGTTCGAGTATTTTTGATATTAATGGAAGAAGACTTATAAGCCATAATTCGTTATATGAGGTTCGATTACATTTCTTTGGCAATGGAATAACTATTGCTTGTTTCCAAGATCGTGGGAAATAACCTTGTTCCAGGCATAAATTTATGATATGCAGCAAATACATATCTATTACTTTTAAACAGTTTTAACATCTGCATATTAATACCATCACTTCCTCCGACATTACACTTAATATTCAAAATAATACTATAAATAAAATTATCCTGTCGTTCTCCTCTAATAAATTGAAGATATATTACTTTTCTATTTTTTCCAATAGTACTGATCAAATTTTCCCTTTTCTGTTTTTTTTTTTGTTTGTTCAGTTTTGCAATAATATTTCTGTGACTACTTATTTTTGCCTTGTCTATTACTTCAGTTGTAATGTCTGAGTTACTATTAATCAATTTAAAAAAATCTTTATTATCCAAACAGGCCTGTAATCCAATTACTCCCTTGCAATAATTATTTAATTTATACAAAAAATGACATCATCTAACCCCACTTACATTCATATAATTATCTTTGTTGGTAAAGACTGCTCAGAGCACATCCCAAATACAATCGATTTAAAATGCATTAGTAAAGATAATTAAGATCAAGGGCATGTAAAATAATGTTGATTTAACTTAATTTATTTATAAATACTTTATGACTACAAGGGTAGAAGTGGACCTGGATTTAATAATTAGGTACAGTCCCTTTTATAAAAGTAATGCTTCATGTTTAAATAAAATATAGGCAGTTTTTTTTATCGTTTATCAATATTGCTATATTCTAAAGCATATCGTAAATTTTGTTTCTCCATTTTTATGTAAAGATTTTTATACAAAAAAATTTTTGGTTTCCACTGTACACAACTCGAGAATGGCAATTGACCTGTACATTTTTTCAGCCACTGTAATCTTCCCTAAAATAGTAGTATCTATTAAGACTTAGAATATAGTAATGTTGACACAACAAAATAAACGAACAATATATTCTTTTTTATCTACTTATTAACAAATAACGTTAATGATTATTGCGCAAATATGGGGTAATTTTCTGATTTCTCCCTATATTTGTATGTTTTTTAATGGACTGTATGATTAGATTTTACTGGTTTCGGGTATTCAAACTGCGACACCACTTTTAATAGAGTTTATTACAATATTATTCGGTATACAACAAAATAACAAGTTGTTGATACGAAACACAGGCACAAAACAATGCTAGAGTATGTCTAGTATGAGGCTACTTGCTTTTATAAAATGTTTTACTTGATAACACCCCGAGCTAATAAGTTTTAATTCACTTTTACCGATAAATAATAATGCCGGCCGGCTAACGCCCACAAAGTGCGGGAAAACTCACATATTATGACGAGCACACACCCTTCTCACCTTAAGTTAAGATTGCTTCTGGTTTAACGATGCCCGAGATTGCACCGTATATGAGAGGAGATAGAAAATAAGCGCGAATTGCCAGGGTTGGTTGGAATTACGTCATGAACTACCAATGGTACCTATCAGACGCAAATGTGATGTTGGTTGCATGATGTTAGATGCGGTTTGGCATTTAATTATGTAATAAGGGGCGAGAGAAACAAATATATTTAAATTCGCTGACTAGCGGCGTAGGGGAAAGAGGAAAATAATTGATATATTCTGGCGGAGAATAATGTTAGTTATTTTCCAACAATTATGTTATTTCATTTATACGAACCCACTTTCCCCTACAAGAATCTTTACTATTTATCGAAAGACTGTAGATTGTTATTTTTCGTACCATATTTCACATAAAAATTTCTGTAATTTTTAGACACATTTTACATACTTTGTTGCATGTTATTGAACTTATTAATCAATTGATTTTGAAAATACAAAAACCATTTTAATTCTAAATAAAACAAAATATCTATAGGGTGATGTTTATAAAAATTTTAATTTTTGATAAAATTAAAAATACAGTTTTTTTAATTAATGAACAGAAATTAAAATTTTAAAAATCTAAAAACATCCAATTGATGTACTTTTTTTGTCCTATTAGCTGTCTTTTTTTTTTTTAATTTTTGAAATCGAATAAAAAATAATTTGAAATTATATGTACAAAGTTTTGGTGTTTCTATTCATTATCCGAGAACCCCCTTGTACTAATATTACATTTTAACTGCCTAATGTACGACCCACCCTAAATATTTGTTTAACTTTGATTGGTTTTATATAAGTACTAATTTTATATTTTAGTTGCAAAAATTTTAGTTTTATTGTAAGAAATTTTTATTACCTTTTCTATTTTGCATTTTTGTTGGGGTTAATCCAATAAATAAATAAAAATCGAAGATGTTTAAATCTGGATGTCTTCTAAACTGGTATAATTTATTTCCCTGTTACAAAAATGTTTCTTTTTTTTAGAGAAATGATCTCCAAGGAGTAAGAGTATACAGCGCCGTAGATTTACCCGGCCTTTACACGCTCGGTACGGTAGTTATAGATTACAGAGGTTACAGAGTCACAGCCCAATCAATTATACCAGGTATTCTTGAAAGGGAACAGGAACAATCTGTCGTTTATGGTTCTATAGATTTTGGAAAAAGTGTATTGACTCATCCTAAATATCTAGATTTAGTAAGTTATATATATACGTTTTAGAATCAGAGTTTTTTATTTAAAATCGTATTTTTTAGTTGAACAAAGCGGGACAACAGTTAAAAATATTACCGCATCATGTTATTAACGATAAAAACGAATCTGTAGAGCTGTGTTCTAGTGTCGAATGTAAAGGAATCATCGGAAACGATGGTAGATACTATATTTTGGATCTATTGAGGACGTTCCCGCCAGATGTCAACTTTTTAAAACGTCAGTGTTCAACTAATCGATACTAACAGTCTTCATAATTTATTTTCGTCACTTTTTTTTAGTGGAAGGTGAAGATTTGAGTCGAGAAGTAAAACTGCTCGGTTTCCCGATCGAGCACAAACACAAACTCTGTTGCCTGAGACAGGAATTAATCGACAGCTTCGTCGACTCTAGATACATGATGTTCATCAAATACGCCGCCTATCATTTGCAACAGTTAAATCTCAAAAAGACTGAAGAAAAACTCAACAAACCCTCGGAGAGCGCCAAGGCCATCGAGGATAACAAACCACAAGACAATAAGGAATCTGAAGAAATCAGCAAAGATAAGGACACCGAAAAGGATAACGCGGAGGATAAGAAGAGTCAGTTGGAAGACGACGAGGCTAAAAAGATCGTCGAGAGTATAACTGACGGCAGCAAGTTGGAGCGTAAGTTTATTGAACACTTATATTTATGTCTTTGTATATTTTTTGTTAATATCTCTTCTACTACGTCTCTATATTTTTAATTATTCTTTAAAACGAAATAACTCCAGTCGAAACACAAAAGGAACTTGGTGTAATCATATCTAGAGACTTAAAATAGGAAACCCACACTGCTAATATAATGAAGAGAGCCAACAGCCTCATTTAGCTTATCAAAAGAGCCTTTAAAGACCATTCCGAAGATACACAGACCGTTTGGGATCCACACTTTGTTAAAGACATTGAACTGCTGAAAAGAGTACAAAGGAAAGTCACTGAAATACCACCAACCCTACAAAACAATGAATATTATGATCGCCTAGCCAAACTACAACTTTTAAGTTTAAAGGATAGCAGACATAGAGGAGACTTAATACAAACTTACAAGTGGACCAGCGGATATTACACCTGTGATAACATCTTCCAGGGCAGCACATCAAAAACCTTGAAAGGTCACTCGAAGAAATTAGATAAAGAAAAGTGTAATAAACTGCAAATAAAAAATTTCATTTCAAACAGATCTGTATATCTGTGGAATGGTACCCAGGAACACACAGTCTCAGCCCAGAACATAAAAGGTGTGTTCAAGGTGTGAGTGGATAAAGAACTCGAAGAAAAAATAATTTTATTCATTATAGTTTATAGTATATTAAATTTTAGTATTGAAACATCTTTCATTTACTGTATATGTATATTTTTTTGGCATGCGTATGAAAAGTTTGTTTTTTATAGTAGAAGAGAGCACCAAAAATATCGTTAAAACAGCATCAATGGCCGTGGGCTCGCTAAAGGACACAGAGTTCGATATCAGATTTAATCCCGATGTATTTTCGCCTGGAATTCGACACTGTCCTAACTCAGATCCGCCGATGCCTAAGCAAAAGCAATTGATCAAAGATGCCGCCGAGTTTTTGCTGACCGTCCAAATACCCACTTTCGTAAGTGCCATTATTTTTTACAATATTTGCGCAAAATACAGAGTTATGAATGTGTTTTTAGATTCGGGACTGTTTGGATCATTCTTCGGCACCGATGGACGGGACTACGCTGTCAGAGGCGCTTCACAATAAGGGTATCAACATTAGATATTTGGGAAAAGTTACGAATTTGCTGGCGAAAGTCAAACAACTCGAGTACTTGTATAGCATCTCCGTTTCGGAGCTGATTCTGAGATCAGCAAAACATATTTTTACCATATATTTACAGGTTAGTTTTTTGATAGTGTTTTCCATACCTATTTATAACAATTATAAATAAAAAAAGGTAATACGAGAAAACTCAAAGACTCTGAACAACACTAAGTTTAAATTGTAATTTAAATGTTCAGACGCGAATCATGTACAATAAATTTTATTTCGTATATAAACCACAAAATAAATAACATAAATTCTTACCATTATTTTGTACTTCTTTTTCGTTGAACAGACGAAAAGGGCCTTTGACTGTTGCTTCTTCTAAAAATACTTATGCTAACTTTGACTTTCGTGTCGTATTTGCTTGGGAATCACCCACACAAACCTTTATTAAAATTAATCATACATAGTCGATAATACTATGAATTTTAACTGATTTGGTCATAAAAGGTTCTTTCGTTCGCTGTTGGTGTAGTTTCCACCAGTGTAGTTTACACCAGTTACACCAATTTATTTACCCTAATGTACTTCCTCCTTATTCCTTATACACATGTCGAGTGTAATTCACTCCTGCTAAATAGCTGGTGGAGAAAATATCCACCAGTGTACACCATGTCGCCGACAGGAAGGTATAGTGGGTTTTACACCGGGCCAAACGAAAGGTTTGGTGTAAGTTGGTGTAGTTCATTCCTACATCAGTGGGACGAACGAAAGAACCTAATGACACCGAAAATTAGTCACTATTAATGGCGTCTACAAGCGAACAACAGTGTTTCAACAAAACCACAAAACAGTTCTACCATTGTTTTTGTCTCTGTTCTATGGTTAATGCCGCCTGAAATTCAAATTTTTAATTATATCTTAAGAACCACTCCTTTGGCTAATACCACAACAGGAATTTAATTATTTCCAATTTTATACTCTTACTTTGATTTTGCTTACTAAAAAATAACGTCATACTTGAACCAGTTTCATTTTTATTGGTACTCATCAGCAAGAAATTGATGTTTCTGTGACAGTCTTTGAGTTTTTCTCAATTTCCTTCATTTTTAAATTGTTCATGTTAGTATTGGAATATATTTCTTTTAATTATAATTTTTATTTTTGCAGAGTTGCGAGATGATGAATTTATCAGTGGCCATTGCTCATTTCTTGAATTGCTTTTTGTATTCCGGCACCGTGGTGAATCCATTGCAAGGTCAGGATGAGGTAAGTTAAGCTACTGTTTTGAACATAAATTTTAATCACTAGAGTAATTAAGAGGAAATGTAATAGATATTGGTTTATTTGAACTACCGTTTTGTGCATTTTATGTTTTCTTAACATTTTTTTATAAAAAAAGCCGTATGATACATTAGAACTAGTATTTATTACCTGCGGTGCATTTGAACTACTGATTTTAAAATAGTTTCGTAATCGTCTGTGGGTTATTTGAACTACTATTCAGTTTTATTATCAAATAAATCTACTTTTTGAAATAATAAAAAAAAAACCATAATCTCTGGTTCATTTGAACTACTATTCATTTTTATTAGTAAATTTGTATAGTGTTTTATTATACAAGATTAGTAAAGTAAGAGATATACCTAGTTCGGCATATTATGTATTTTTAACAAATTAAGTTAATGAAAATTTTCGATATGTCATTCATTTTGTTGCTGTACAATCACCAACCGTTCTTCCAAATTGTATACAGTACTATTCAGCATTTCTGGTTGAATTGAAGCAATTTACTCTCTAATAGTCTTTTAATTCTTTGTTCGTCGTATATTATAAAAAAGAATCTGGGATATATTAGAACTACTTTTTATAACTGAGTGTAGACTATCTACTAATTTGAGTTTTGAGTAATGAATCTAACAGTATCAAATCGTTTTCAATCAATGGAAAATTTTTCAAAAATTTATAGATATTTATAGGTTTCATTTATTCACCGGTAACGCCTCAGTCTATAGAGCCGAAACTATTTTTTTTAATCGGTTTTCACGGCGAGATATACAGGGTGGCCCATTAGTGCGTGAAAGTCCTGTTTCTTTAATCTCTATTATTTGTCAAAAATTATCACTATTAGAGCCTATATCAGGGGTCGACAATCTATGGCTCGCTAACCGCATGCGGGTCTTTAGAATCATACTTGTGGCTCTTGAGTAGTTTAATAGTAGGTAGTACTCACACATCAAAATGCGCAGCAGATCACATGCAAGTAAATCTAGCTTTAGACCACCTTGCTCCCCATTAACAATGTTATTTTTTCTAACGCTATATGTGTGTGTACTTATATTGAATCTTTAAAAATAAATTGGGAAAAAATGGTTGTTGCCTCCAGAAAGGTTGCCGACCCCTGTTCTATAATATAATAACAAATAGTAAAATAATGGACTAGGTGTTCATTTTGAAAAAACAAAGTTTTAGATGTTTAACGATTAGCAAGATGGTACCCCTGTATAAAATCGCCTGTACATAAAAAATAAACATTTGATCCTTTCAGACTTTTGAGTTAATTTTTATCTTTTTATTTGCCAAGTATAACTCAATTGTCAAAAAAAAAATTTCTTGTCTCTATACAGAAAAATAGTATAGGAATCACAGTTTTTTTTTGCCTCGAGTTTTCTACGGTTTATTACATTTTGGGATTCCATGAATTAGTTTCGACACGATAACTCGTGAATTGACAAAGAGAAAAACACCAAATTTTAATCTTAAGCTTTAATCCATCGTGTGGTGAGCTGATTAAATTTTGGGCATAGTCGGAACACCTGGAGGGTACTTTATACGGGGGTCGTTTTTCTACTTTAAGAAATATATCTGTTATTAACGGTTGAAGAGAATTTAGAGATTAACTTCTCACAATGGTGTTTTCAGTTAAGATTTTCATATAATAAAATGCCTAAAAATTTAACGCTACTGTGGCAGTTCGTCAATAATGACATATTAACTTTATTTTGCACGTTGTGCAGCCTAAGAATTTCGGTTTTTTCGCTATTAAAAAATAAGCTACTACTGTTAAAAAATGTACTTACATTAGTTAAAATCAGAAACAATTATAGAAAAGTCATCGGCATAGGCTGTATAAGAATTGTTTTCCATAATTGAATCAATATGGTTAACATATAGGAGGAATAGCATTGGACCTAAAATTGATCCCTGTGGCACACCTATTTGAACCTACAAGTGATCTGAATTAAAATTTTCTATTGATCTTTACTGGTGGATTTTATGGATACAAACTGAGACTTGCCTTTTAAAAATGAAGCTATCCAAGAATAAGGCCTGCCTCTTACTCCTTTGTTCTCTAATCTGGACAATAAAATATCGTGATTCACACATTCAAATGCTCTGCCGAGATCACAAAAAATAACAGCAGGGCATTCACCCTTATCAACGTGTTCAATAATTTTTTAGTAAAATGAAAACAAAGCAGTGGTAGTAGACATAGAAGATCTAAAACCATGTTGGTTACTACTGAGAACCTGAAAATTATTTGAATCGGTCATTTTGAAAAGGGGTCATATCCACTTTTTAAAATTTTACAGGAGAGATAAAAAAAACCTTTAATCTTTAATACTATTTGAAAATAATTTTTTGTAAGGTATTGTTTGCTTTAAACATAAACTTTTATGACCATGAATTATTAAAAAACATGATTTTTTATTTTAAAAGGGGTTAAAAATTAACATTTTTTGAAAAAGAGATGGCCCGTTTTCAAAATGAACAAGTATTTCAAATCAAAATAGAATATAAATATTGTTTATTTTAAACAATAAAATGGTATAAAAAAACATTTTAATACAAAAAACAAGATCTCCTTTAATTTTTCTCCATTTCTTCAGCGGTGGTAGTCGGCCATTCACAGACAGTGGTGTAAAATTCCTTGTATTTATCTGGAATATATTGCTGAAGCTTCTTTATATCATCAATTTTCTTAACATTTATCGGAATTTTGCCTTGATAGGCAGAAAGATTTTGAGGATTGGGCACCACTATTGTCGGAATGCTTCGTTGTAGAGTTTTTAAAAGAAGAAAATGTTCCTCAACAAAGCTGCCTATGTATGGTTTGGCAAAGACGACACCCAAATTTTCCGAGTTAAAACTGAATTCGTAAAAGGAGTTGATAGTGAAATTAACTTTGTATTCTTTTGGAACTTGTTTGCCAAGACTTCGGGTAGACAACACTTTCTTCTTAAAGAAATCCGGCCACCATTGTTTGAAACCAGCTACATCTACATGAGTAACATGTCTTACATCGAATTTATTGCTTCTAGATAAAGAAACTTTTAGATCTTCATATTCACCTACAGAGAAAATCCGGTCGAGGCAACGAATTTTTCTTTTTACTGTGCCAAAATCCCTGTCACAATCATTAGATGAGTGACCTCGTTGCGGAAAGTAAATAGTAATTTTCTGGAACTTTACCAGAACCAAAAGAAATCGTATCATGGTGTTCCGATTCTGACCAGGACATCCGTCACAAAATAGATGCAGTTCTTCAACATTTTCTGAAATTTTATTGTTAATGTAGTCATTTAAAAAAGAGCAAACTTCAACAGGGCCTTTGTGTCCTTTGCCTTCGTGGTAGGAGTAAAACGTTGCTTTTTCAGTACTGAAGTTGTGAACGCAAAATTCATTCACCCATAATTGCCGAAAGTAAAATACCTCTTGTACGGGTAAAAAGGAAAGTGATAGGTTTTGCATATAATCAAAACATAGAGCGACTACCTTTTCATTTTCTTTGTACAATTTTCTAATTTCGTCCATTTTTGTAAAATATTTTTTAGCCCTTCTCTTGTGTACCATAAGTTCTGCAGCCACAACCCGCTTGGCGTTATCATTTAGATGTGGGTCCTTCAATTTTTCTCCTAACTCTTCACATTTGGAACAGACATCGATCTGTGGACGGCCAAATGACAAGTTAAAGTTTTCATGAAAATACTTGAGAAAAAATTTATATTTCACATTTTGACACTCTGGGTGCTTGACCATGAACATATCATGCATACCCAGACAGCACACCAAATCCTTTGGATATCTACTGAACATCCCAATATCCACTGAATGTCCAGTCCATGGTAGATATCTATTTTATATCCATGAAATGTAATTTATAGACATGCAAATGTCCATAAATAATAGTAATTATATAACAAATTATTAAAAAATTACGCCATTGTGCTCGCCATAGTGGCTAATAGTACCGTTCAGATATTTAAAACTATTTTTTTAAGGTGTATTCAATATCCCATGAACATCCACTAAATATATCAGTCTAGGCGCGAACGCAAACCATCGTGGATATCCACTAGATGTTATGTGATTCTGCTTACTAAGTATAGATGGCGATACCACTATCGCACCTACTCATGCTCGACCCGCCGTAATTGAGTTCGATCAAAATTTGTGTCCTAATCACTCCATTAGAGACTGGAGTCGAGAATTTTCATTTATTGCTGAAGAGTCCTAATAAGGATGACTTTCTCCTTAGTGGGTAAAATCAAAGGCAGAGTTTTGAAAATATTTTTTATCTCTGCTATTTTCTTTCGACGTTATTCAATAATCATTGGTTACTTATGAACCTCTACTAAAGATACCCATAAAATATTTTGCTGAATATCCGAATATCTTCTATATCCTGGGATATAGACGGACATTTGGTTGGATATATTGAATATCCACAAAATATATTCTGTGGATATCTCTGGGATTTCTTGTATTTTCTGGAAGATACCCGTTAGATATTTTGCTGAATATACATTAGGATATCTTCTATATTCTGGATATAGACGAACATTTGGATATCCATATTAGATCCACGGAATATTTCTGATATCCTGTGGATATATTGGATATCCACAAAAGATATTCTGTGGATATCTCTGGGATTTGGTGTGTTTGCTAGGTAATCTTAACATTTAGCTGAGCAGATAAATATTTCTTTATAGTATTTGTATAATGCACTTGATTCACTGGGATATTGTCAATAAAGTTGTGGATTTTCTGGCAAACTTCACCTGGAATCAGTTTATTTCAAGAACCAGCAGATTTTCCTCTTTGTCTTGAGGTGTTTGACGTTGACTTTTTAAAGAGATTTTTTTCGAGATTTCGTAAAAAGACTGGAAAGCTGCACGACAAACATTCTGCCGGTTGTTACACTCAATGTGGTAGCGAAATGTGTTTGTTTTAAATTTGTGCTTTTTGGATTTACTTTTAGTAATAATATCAGAATCAGACATTCGTTTTTTGCAGTTGCTTGGCGTACTCACATCTATTAGGCCTTGAAGAAAAATGTCCTGTTCGTCTTTGGATTTCAAATTGTTTATTTTCTGTATCATATCGTAAGATACTGAGAGGAAACATTTACGAGGACAGCTGAAAACAAAAATGTAATTCACTGTTAAAGTCAATTTAATCAGTAATCATTAAAGCTTTCCTTCCAGTACCATTTACAGCAGTCTCACTTGCACAAAATAATAAACTTAAAATTTTTTAAAATACCCAAATTGCTTAATTATGTAAATATAATAATATTATAGTTATAATAAATACTATTTTAACTAATAACAAGTTAATAATAAAACAGTAATTTGGTGCCCGTTGCGATTTTTAATATAGCCAGACCCTGCTGCCACTAGTGAGAAGAAGAGTATAACCTTTATGATAAAATGCTAGTATTTTAACTCACCGGCATGGGTCTCCAGTTTTTCGTGGACCTATAAGTTTGTTCATATGATTAAAGTGTTCTTTTCCAGTAACTTTTGCGTTTTTAATCGAAATTTGCTTATAACTGTTTGTATTTTTAACACCTCTCTTTCGTTTGGGAAGAGGAGAGATTGTCTCATGTATTATATATCTGTATTATATTAAATCGGACAAGGTGGTAAAGCATTATCGCTAAACATACATAAAAAATGAAGAGTTTGAGGATTTTCTCATGGACCCAATTATTAGATTTTGACTAAATTTATATGGGATCACCCCTGAAGTACCCCCTTTCTAACAAAAAAAAGAATCATTAAAATCGGACACCGTGTTAAAGAATAATCGCTGAACATACATAAAAAAAAAATATCGCGACGAATTGATAACCTTCTCCTTTTTTGAAGTCGGTTAAAAATAAAAAAGAAGATAATCAGACTGTCCCGGTCCAAGTAATCAACATAAATAAAGCCCAGGGCCGCCGAGAGCCAGGCCGGACCCTGGGACAATTCTCTACATCGGGCCCTGTTACAAAGAAACAACCCAAATCGTTTCGTTTTCTAAAAAAAAAAAAAAAAAAAAAAAAAAACCTCCTCACCTCCTCACCTCGAAAAAAAATAACTCTATTTTCTTTTTTTTTTCTCCCTACTTCAATTACTTCTTACCTTAATTGCTTCTTCTTCTTCAAAAAAAAAAAAAAAAATCTAGACACAAATATTTTCTCCTTACTTCCTACTTCAATGACTTCTTCTTAAAAAAAAAAAGTCCTCGGCCGCAAAAAAAAAAACCCTCTAAGCTAATAAGCTAAAACTTTTCCCACCTCCCCTTTCTCGAATTTCTCATGCAGAAACAGAAAACCCTATTGTCGGGCCCCCCTTATAGCGCTGCCGGGCCCTCATTTGAGCCCGGGCCCCGGGAATTAGTCCCGGCTACCCCCCCCCTCTAGTCGGGCCTGATAAAGCCCACGTAAGGTAATCGATTAGTTTTTATTATAATCATCCCCTTAAGTACCCAACCCCTGAGAAATAATCAACATCGCCTTATTATAGGTCAGATACACTTAAATATTGTTTTCATTATGTTTTAATTCAAAACCTTCTACATATGTATCAATGTGCAACTGAATTTTTCCTAAAGCCTTGGTTTTTAAGAACCTTCCGTCGCGAAATTTGCCGACGAAGTTCGTCGACAGAATGCGTTCGCGAATTCCTTTCGCAAAGTTAGTACGACACCGTGTTTTTTTAAGCTTTGGTTTCTTTGAACACTCTGTCGCGGTTAGCGAACAGTCCGTCGATCGCAGAGGACAGTGATTTTCGACCGAGGTGGTTTGTTAAATATAGAAAATGAGCCCTTCTCTATGTCTGTATGTTCTGTTTATGTATTATGAGTGAAAACGAAATGTACCAAAATGAACGCAAATAAATTGTTTGCGTTATTATTATTGTTGGAAGAGGAAGAATAAGGGAGGAACTGGCAATTGCAACCGTCAAAAATTCCAATAGGCCAGTGAACAAGTTATTTTTGTGTCGCGATACAGAAGGTGCCTTTAATATCACTGTGCAGCGGTGGCTTTTTAGAAATGAAACCAAATTTAGGGAGTATTTTAGACTTTCTACAGATCTTTTTGAATTCGTGTTGAGTTTTATAAAGGACATAATTTCCAAGAAACCTAAAAATAAAGTCATGATGTCATCTGTATGTTTGAATTTGTCACTCATTGTTTTAAAATTAATAACAATATAGTCTCCGCACACGCTGACGATTCCCCTGATATCAAACTAGAAGACAGATTGACCGTTTAATTGGACGGAAATTATCAATTTCAGCACGCAAAGTTTACATTCTGTGCTGTGGCTATGGAGGGTTTTTTACAGCTTTTATTAGAAGAAGAATTTGCTGATGAAGAAGACGAGTTTCTGCTGGAGATATTAAAAAATTAAAAAAAAAATTTAAAACAAGAAAATCAGAAGGAGTCTATGAAGTACTAATTAAACGACATTTATTTAAAAATGAAGAAAAATTTCGAGAATATTTTTTATTGACGCCAGTTTTATTTGATGAAGCTCTAAGTTATATTAGAAATGATATAGAAACGAAACCTTGCAATAGGCACACAAAACCAATTACACAAAAACTAAGTATAACTTTAGATAAGTTAGTTTAACAATGATTATAGAATAAGTAAAATTAACCAAAAATATTTTTCAATTTACCAGCAAAATTAACAACACGCAAAATAGAAAATAAATAAATCATTGTCAAAAAAGGTTCCGTAATAACTACTTTAATATAGTGAATTCTGCTAATGTAATTGTATCTTCGATTTATCACCTATTGGAGGTTGTGCCTCCACTGAAAAATTGCCGTATGTTTGCTCATGATGGGGTGTATTACTGCCGTCGCCGATCGCGATGGAACTGGGTGTATGTGGTATGGTACCAGATAGTGATGTAACTGCACTACTAGAAGAATGCATGGAGTATGTTGGTGAAGATAACTGTAGATAGAAAACTGATCTCTGTTGGTGCTGTCCATACATGTGCAATTGTTTTCCATATATTTTCTTTTAATTCTATGTCCCTGTAACTTTTCTTTTTGACACCATACGAAGGAGGGGTTTTTTCACCAGATCTATAAATTTCTCCTCATTTTCGTTGGAAAATTGAAGCTGTTGATAACTTTTATTGGGTATTTTTTATAATTTTAATGTCTATACCTCACGAATTTCAAACAAGAACTGACAGCGCAATTGCGCTGAAACCAAATATGTTTTGATTCCAACGGACAACGCTAGCGCATTCCGTTAAAAATAAACGCGCAACAGGTTTTAAGAAACGGACGGTTTGGATAGTGCATTTTTAAATACGGCGAACTTCGCGAACGCATTCCGTCGACGAACTTCGTCGGCAAAGTTCGCGACGGAATGTTCTTAAAAACCAAGTTTTAATATGGACATAGTTTTAAGAATTTACAAATTAATGGCAGTAAGCAATTGTTCTACGGAATATTCGTTCTGACGTTTGAAACGAATTAAAATATGATTACATTGAAAACAGAGTGAACGTTTTAGCAATTTTATCAATTGAATTTCACACTGCAAATTCGATTGAATGTGAATAAAACAATTGTTGAGAAAAAATTCAGATTAATAGTGAAATGCGAGCGAAAATTTAGTTGAATATCTATATTATATCAAGATTGTCGTGCGAGCCATTGTCAACAACCAGTCTAGCTCTGATCTTTGTTGACGTTATCGGTGTTGTCTCGCTACCGCTGGTCGAACGAGACTCAAAAAGTTACTCGAAAGTTCTTTTGCAGTCATAGAGGAAAAGTTTCGAAAACGTCTAGAGCAGGGATTCCCCTTGGGGTTAAAATCAGTTTCCCGGGGGTTAACATAAACGAAAACTGATTTTAGGTCGATGAGGTCTAAAAATCGACCCCTGTTTATTAACACAAGTTCTTATTTGAAACTTTTAAGATACTCTATAGGTTGTGTTACGTGTACCAACTTGTTACAAGAATGACTCATATTTTAGTAAGAAGTATCATTGTTGAAAGTTCATTTGCGTTTTGAAATTCGTTGGAACATGAATGATAATACCCTCATCTATTAATTTATTTCAAAAGATTACAAAGTGATTACACAGTTAAATAAAGTGAATTAAAATAAAGTGATTAAAAAAAAAATTACAAAGTTCTTATACGCGCGTTAATAGCGTAACCATACATTTCTGCAGTATATGAAAAAATAACAGGGTAAGTAACAAAAAACGTTTTAATATTTTTCTAAGTATTTTTTGAAATTACTTTAGAAAAGTTGTTGCCTAAAATTATAAATGTTCAGTTTTCTTTGTTTTCGTTTTTTTACGCTGATTGGTACCTAATTTCTTTGTTTTCGTTTTTTTTACGCTGATTGGTACCTAATACAAATGCTCTATATTACAGGTACTAGGTATATCCAAGTTTATCAATGAATAAGTTCGTGAGCACACCTAAAAACATCCAGTGTCTAGGTGTGATAAAAAAGGCTCGTGTGCAAATTTAAGTTTTATTATTATCTCTGACCGAGAGTAGGTAATACATGTAATCTTATTTAAAAAATTATTTATCATTTCATATATCATAGATAGAATACTATATAAATAGGCAAATATAAAATATTGATTTTTAGAGTGAGTGTAAACACTAAGAAATATGGCTAACCCAGTAGTGCTCTACGCCACCAATGTATATAAAAAAAATTCACCAGTACCAGTTTGGCATTTGGGTGTTTTTGTGTTTGGTTTTGAATATTCTTATGGACCTCAAGGTGTAACTATCACAAACAAACCTGACGTACCGCTGGAAACCACACCTATGGGCTGTACCAAAAAAACTGAAAAATCGCTTCGCACATTTGTTCTTGAAGATTTGAAAACAAAATATACAGCTTTGAATTATAATGCATTGACCAACAACTGTCACGGTTTTGCCAAAGAGGTGCTGACTTTCTTAGGAATTGGAAAAGAAATTCCTATAAAGTATACCGAGCTTTGCCAAGCAGCGAAGGACGCTGTAGGTTCTGTAGGTGGTAAAGTTATTGAGACTGTGTTTGCCAGTAAATCTGTGAACTCAAATGTATTTCCAATTAGAAAAAATAAATAAAAAATACACAAACTATATTAATCCGTATACTCTTGAACAGTATGTAGTTAACATTTCAATAAATCTAATCTTAATTATTTACATTTGTGTTTTATTTTATTACTGTTATCTCTAATATGTCACTCATATTATTTTGTACAATATATAAATATAATCTTTGTTTTTGTTTTATTATCTATTTAACACTGACTTTTAATATTAACTCCTTTTTCCAAGCCAGGTAAGAAAATAGTAGTAGAAGATGAAATGTTTACCTACCAGTTTACAATATAATCAATTAAAAATACAGTTAACAATGTCAGTTTATAATAAGGACCAGTAAAGGAATGTAGTTTGGTAAAGTTTTAAACTCATTTACTTTGAACTGATTTGTCAAATTCCGTGAATTTAACACCACAATATTGCAAGAATTTTGAAAAAATTTGTGAGAGAATTGCCCATCGTGTGCCCATTATTCCTTATAAAATAACTTTTTTTGTCCGCCCTGTTTTCAAAATATATAAAAAAAAAATTTCGCGGGCCAAATTCTAAACAAAAGTAAACATTATAGTTTAATTCCATAGAATAATAGTATTTTGTTTGCCCACGTTTGCCCATTAGTAATTACTTTTTTGAAAAAATAAATATTTAAAATAATAAAAATAAATATTTTCAAAAATGAAATATATGATAAGTGCATTAGGTAAACATTCATTTGTCCATGTTTGCTCATTTTTTATTTTTTTCCAATTTGCATACCGTTTTAGAAAAAAAGTCAAATTAAAAAAGTATCGGATTAAAATTTCACAGGGCCGTGAGCTTTGCAGAACAACATTGAAAAAATGGTACAAAAATATGTAGGAGGATTGGCCATGGTTTCCCCACGTTTGCCTATCAAATTATTAAAATTAAAAAATATTTACAAAAATTAAAGATGATAATTGCATTTGGTAATCATTCGCTTACTCATATTTTCCCGTTTTTTCGTATTCAATAAACTTTTTTAAATCACTTTTAATTAAATTGTCCCGTTGGATTCTAAAATTTTTAAAAATGGGCAATCCGTAAATTACATTCCTTAAAGACTTACAATTATTATTTTGGAATCATTTCGATGTTTTTTCTTTTATTATAAATAAATACATCTAAAAGCACTATTATCGCTGTTTTAGCCACCCCTCGTGGACTAGAATTTTCTTTAAAAAAATGGGCAATCCTCAGAATACATTCCTTAAAAATCTGATGTGTCCAACACATGACTTTCCTATCTAGTTATTATAGGCTTTTTCCGGTTATGTTGTACAACCTATTGCAGCACCTCTATAAATGTTTAGAGGATAAACTAAATATATACATTTTCCACATACATCTACCTCAAAACATTTTTCTATAGATATTCATTGAAAACGAAAATACTGAACAATTTAAATTTAACACTTTTCCTACAATTTTTCCATTACGGTCCATTTTAGAAAATCATGTATAAACAAAAATTATAGAGATCGATATCGCAAACAACTTTTAGTTCAACAATTTTCATAAAAATCAGAATTTTGCACATTTTGTCAAATTTCTCGAATACGGACCATTTCAGGAAAGTTTGACATTAAGCAAAAATTGTAGATAATAATTTTAGAAGTAATTTTTATTTGAACAATTTTCTTCTCCAAACATAAATAACAGATATATTCCATAAAATATAAAAACATCCTCCCAGATGTTCCGACTTTGTCCAAAATCTAATCATTTCACGTCAGGCCAAAATAAAACTTTTGTTTAAAATTTAATGTTATTTTCTTTATCCGTTTTTGAGTTTTCTTCAAAATTTACACATTTTCTTCAATATAATTTTTTTTTTAATTATTTTTTACTTTTTGTCAAATTTCTCGAATACGGACCATTTTAGGAAAATTTTGTATAAAACAAAAATTATCGATAATAATATTAGAAGTAACTTTTCTTCTCAAACCGTAAATAAAAGATATATTGCATAAAATATAAGAATCGCCACCCATAAAGTACCCCTCTAAATGTACATACACACACGCACACACACGCGCGCGCGACGGATTTTTACATTTTGGAGTCCCCTGAATCCGTTTTAAGTAAGTCTCATGCAACCATATTAGAAAGTCAAGAAATCATTAAAAAAAAATAAAAAAAAAACGTCTTATTAAAAACTCAATCATCAGATAACAAGATAAGCAATTTAGCACTCAAGGCAAAATAACAAAAATTAAAATGTAGTAATGCTAACTAAACTAATATTCCATATTATAAATAAATTCTAACCAACCAAAGTAATTAAAATGCCCTTTTTCTAACTTTTTTTCGGCAAATTCACGAACCAGTGATTTCAATTCTAATTTGTCACTAATTTGGTGTTTTGTAACTATCATTGCCAATCCATTGAGACGATTTTGCGTCTGCATCGTTCTGAAATATTTTTTTATTATTTTTAGTTTTGAAAAGCTTCTTTCCTCTGAAGCCATAGTGACTGGCAATGTAAGTAGGATTCTTAATGCTATGCTAAGGTTTGATGCGAATTTAAGTGTAGTGATAAACTTAAGAACTTCAACAGGGGTTTCCTTTTTTGTTAATAACGACGAAACAATGCTTATTTCATCGGCTAGTTCCAGGGTGTTAAGTTCGCGAATTTTCATCAGTTAAAACTACTTCCAAATCTTTGCAATGAGCCACTAGCTCATTTATGGGCATGTCTTTTAGACCAAAAATATTATACAAAAAGCTGAAATAATTACTGTGAGTATTTAGCAAATTATATCTTTTTTCCAAGGCATTTATTGCTTGATCTATAGTGTGAAAAAAATCTATTTTATATTTTTGTTTGAGGTCTTGAACGGGTTCATCCGGGCCCTCATACAAAAACGTTCTTGTTTTACTTCTGACACGATGACGTGGTGTGGTGGTTTCGAAATTAGCTTCCTCGTCAATCTCTGAAGCAAGCTCGGTTGCTTCTAAAATGATGCTTTCAACAGCTTTATCTGACCTCAGGTTTTCAAAGAAGAGTTTGCAGTTGCTAAGCATATCAATAGCTTGTGACATATTAAAATTTACAGTTTGCAAAAGTTTGCTGATGGGGTTAATATGACTCAAAATTTTGTACCAGATCACAACAGAGCATATAAATTTGAACTGCTTCAAATTATTTAATAATCCGCTAGCCTCGTCTCTGATCATATTATCGATTTCTGAATCTTCATATATGCTGTACAAAGCATCGTGAATTGGACCAATTTGAAACCGCAGAGCTTTTAATGAGTCGACTCGACTTTCCCATCGCGTATCACTCAATGGTTTTAAGGTGTAAGTATTAATATATTTTAGAAATATTGCCCAACGAAAAGAAGAGTAAGAAAAAAATGTATATAACTTTTGAACAATATTGAAGAAGTTGGCTGCCTCAAACGAGGATTTTGCCATATCGTTTACAACCAAGTTTTGCGAATGGCTGCTGCATGGAACATAAAATGCTTTGGGGTTTATATTTCTGATTCTTGTTTGTACTCCCGATTTTTCTCCTCTCATATTGGAACCATTGTCATACCCTTGACCGCGCATGTTTTCTACTTTAAGCCTATTTTTCTCTAGCTCTTCTAGTAAAACCTCCGACAATTCCTTAGCTGTTGATCTCTTAATGGGTAAAAAACCCAAAAAATGTTCGTCGATATTAACTTGAACTTCAGACTCTGATTCCTGTATGGAAACAAATCTTACCACAAATGTCATCTGTTCTACTTTACTTGCATTGGGAGTACAGTCAAGAATCACGGAATAATACTTGGCCTTTTGAACTTGCTCAATGATGTGGTGCTTTATGTTGTCATGCAATAATTGAATTATTTCATTTTGTATAGTTTTCGCTAGATATGTAGCTTTGATTTCTTCTTTATTGAGAACTCTGCAGACGTGTTCCTCTATTTTTGTATCAAACTCAGCCAATAATTTTTCCAGCCACTTTTCCAGTAACTTTTGCGTTTTTAATCGAAATTTGCTTATAACTGTTTGTATTTTTAACACCTCTCTTTCGTTTGGGAAGAGGAGAGATTGTCTCACTACTTTCACTACTAGATGACATTTTGTCACGCGACACCTAAACAGTCTCTAAACACGTCTAAACGATTACTGGATATATTGCATCATCCGATGCAGCAGTTTCATTGCTTTCTAAAAGGTGTTAAGGCCCATTGAAAGCCAATGCAAGCCTTTACCTGGAATTGTCTGATTTGGAAGACAGATTTATAGTGATTTAAGCTCAATTTAAGATTTTACAATTTTCCATACAGGAAAATGGTAAAATTTATTATACTCAGGGTTGTGAATTCTCAGTTGTTTATTTTGGAACTTTTATGATTATCTGAATTTGAACAAGGCGCCACCTGTTTTGACTATATTAAAAAAATATACTTTTTCAGAGAAAAACAAAATAGGAAACAAAACTATACTATGACAACTGTCAAGATAAGGTACGATAAGTTCAAATTCAAATGAAAATCAGGTAAATTAAAACAGATAAATTCAATTTAGATTTTATTATCCACAATAATGACAAATGCAGAACTGAGGGTTCTGGAAAAAAACAAAATATAGTTAAAGTTGAACTGAAGGTTCCAAAAGACAATTAATGATGTAGAAAAATATAAAACTTAGGTATTAAATAAATTGTTATAAAAAAATGAAAAAAAAATGATATTCGCAATTTAAGTAACCTGTACACAATTAAATACAAGTAAGCTCGGCTTTGTTTCGGTTTAAGTTACCGGATGACTAAGCTGAGGGATGGTCCTGCTGGTTCTGGAGGTAATCGAGCCTCTTCAGAAGTTCAAACGAGGTGGTGGTGCATTCAGTTCTTATTCAGGAAGGAGCCTTGTCCACTATAAGGTCTCTCAATTCTATGTGTTGCAGATTCACCGACGTTCTGATGCTGAGAAACTCGATTTCCACGTGGATGGACTAACTTTCAAAACTTTTCTGGTCTGTTGGCTTAACTTGTCATCGGTAATACTCCCAGTGCATGAAAATGAAACATTTGTGTGTGTGAGCTACTTATATTGGCAATACAGAAAAATGCTGGTTAAAAGACGTCTTTTACTACCCCTGAGGTTACGTAAATTGCCCAAAAGACTGATAATAATGAAGGAATG